ACAGTTCTTGAGAGACCTTAAAAGTGTGGTTCTGAACTCTATATCTTCCATTGACAATTTTGTCCCGTTTCTTTGTCTCCGCATTTTTTATGCTTTCTTGGTGCACCCCCTAGTGGTCTTTGTGCGCAGTCTTGTTGTACTTAAGCCTTGATTGTTGTAGCTAATACTAGGGGGGATTTGACCTCCAGGCCAAGTGGCTGTGAGAATCAACTGTGTCTCTGCACTGTTTATTTTCTAAGTGTCTCTTAATGCCAGGTGCTGCATGGGTGAGGGCGCTACCGTGGTGGGTACAGAAGTGGGAGACCTGATGACTCCCTTGGTGCTGAGTACATTCTGGAAATGTAAATGACCCAGGTGGAGAGGTCCCAGGCCACAGCAGAGCCGCCTGTCCCTTGGGGCCCCTGAGCTCACCCTCCTCTCCCCACAGGGTATGACTTCGCGGCTGTCCTGGAGTGGTTTGCCGAGCGGGTCGACCGCATCATCCTGCTCTTTGATGCCCACAAGCTGGACATCTCCGACGAGTTCTCCGAAGTCATCAAGGCCCTCAAGAACCACGAGGACAAGATGCGGGTGGTGCTGAACAAGGCCGACCAGATCGAGACCCAGCAGCTGATGCGGGTGTACGGGGCCCTCATGTGGTCCCTGGGGAAGATCATCAACACTCCCGAGGTGGTCAGGGTCTACATCGGCTCCTTCTGGTCCCACCCCCTCCTCATCCCCGACAACCGCAAGCTCTTTGAGGCCGAGGAGCAGGACCTCTTCAAGGACATCCAGTCTCTGCCCCGGAACGCTGCCCTCAGGAAGCTCAACGACCTGATCAAGAGGGCCAGGCTGGCCAAGGTAGGCCTGGGATGCATGCCTGCGCCGGGGTGGGCTCCTGTGCTGGGACTGCCGCTGGGGCCCGGGGATTGGTCTGCCCAAGACCCATCTCTGCAGACCCCCAGCCCCAGCCGCATTGCACTGTGTCTGAACCAGTCCTCTCTCTGCACCTGTGGGCGCAGCTGTTTTTTTAAGTGAAATTCTTAATGCACGTGAACCTCAAAATGGAAGGTCCCACGGTACCATCAGCAGCCTGGGGAGTGGAAGTGGGTGGAGGTGCAGCTTAAGGCCTCACGGGCTTCCGCCCACAGGTCTCTTGAGCACTGAAATACACTTGGCAGATGCTGGCGCTGGGGACACAGTGGGGACTGACAGCAGGTCCCCATCCTTGTAGCACTGGCAGCCATAGGGGGGAAGGCATACAGCATATAAAGCACAATTTGGGGAGACCACAGGCTGCTGCAGAAGCAGACTGGGGAGCTATCTTGGTGGGCTGGGCCAGGCTGGGGGGCCTCTAGTGGGAGCTGATGCTTAAGCCAGGACAGGAAGCTAGTGGAGAGGTGGGTTTCTAACCTGTGGGCCCAGAGAGAATGCTGGGTGGCTTCAGCCTCCAGAGGCCCTGTTAACCATCCCTGCCCCTCTGCGGAAGCTCGGGGCCCGCTGGCACCTACTGGCAGCATCTGAATTGCTCAAGAGGTTGGAATGTCAGTGTCTGGCCGAGCACATGAGACCCTGGCTGGCTGGTCAGCGATGGTGGCCTGCAGCGGCCCTTGTGCATCCCCGATCTCTGATGAAAGGACCGTGGAGAGCAGGCGGCGTGCAGAGGGTAGGAAGGCAGTGTGTGGTGTTTGGCTTTGGTGAAAGCAGTCCTGTGGCCTGGCCTGTGGGCGCAGCTGTTTTTTTAAGTGAAATTCTTAATGCACGTGAACCTCAAAATGGAAGGTCCCACGGTACCATCAGCAGCCTGGGGAGTGGAAGTGGGTGGAGGTGCAGCTTAAGGCCTCACGGGCTTCCGCCCACAGGTCTCTTGAGCACTGAAATACACTTGGCAGATGCTGGCGCTGGGGACACAGTGGGGACTGACAGCAGGTCCCCATCCTTGTAGCACTGGCAGCCATAGGGGGGAAGGCATACAGCATATACCTTATAATTTGGGGAGACCACAGGCTGCTGCAGAAGCAGACTGGGGAGCTATCTTGGTGGGCTGGGCCAGGCTGGGGGGCCTCTAGTGGGAGCTGATGCTTAAGCCAGGACAGGAAGCTAGTGGAGAGGTGGGTTTCTAACCTGTGGGCCCAGAGAGAATGCTGGGTGGCTTCAGCCTCCAGAGGCCCTGTTAACCATCCCTGCCCCTCTGCGGAAGCTCGGGGCCCGCTGGCACCTACTGGCAGCATCTGAATTGCTCAAGAGGTTGGAATGTCAGTGTCTGGCCGAGCACATGAGACCCTGGCTGGCTGGTCAGCGATGGTGGCCTGCAGCGGCCCTTGTGCATCCCCGATCTCTGATGAAAGGACCGTGGAGAGCAGGCGGCGTGCAGAGGGTAGGAAGGCAGTGTGTGGTGTTTGGCTTTGGTGAAAGCAGTCCTGTGGCCTGTGAAGCAGGCACCCTGGGCCCCTGAGTATCGGGTCTTCCCCGCTGGATGGCAGGCCTGTCCTGGGAGAGCCGAGAAGAGCCCTGCCGGCCCGCTCCTGCCTCGGAGCCGCTGCCTGTGTGTAGCCCTGAGGTTTTGAGGCTCCGCCGTGGACAGAACACCGTGGCCCAGGGCACCCCACCCTCCCTTGAGGCCTGGTGTCAGGTAGCTTTCGGCCTGAGTAATGAGAACTGACCCTCATCCTTTGCCACTGGCTGTGTCTGTTGCCCAGAGTGCGAGCCAGCACATGGGAGCTCGCTAGGAGATGGGTTCTTAGGCCCACGTCTGCCCTGCTGAGCGTTTGGACTCGAGCCCCTGGGGATCTGTCTGCCTAGACCAGTTGCAGAGGCCGCAGGAGAGCACAGGGCCGCGCGCTTTTCTAGTTGTATCTCTGCTGGAGCCTTCTTGGGAGTGTCGCTCGTTCTAAGAAAGGAACCTGTGAGAAAACCTGAATAATTGGCTCCTGACCTCAGAGGACGGAGGGACACCCGGGGCTGAAGGAGGACAGGCAGTGAGCGGAGAAGAGACCACAGGGAAGGGCTGCCCCTCTCCTGGCAGGGCTGCCCCTCTCCGGGGAGGGCTGCTCGTGCGGACCAGCTCCCTTCCAGGACAGAACAAAGGGCAGACTTCCTCCTGCTTGTTCACTTACAGAAATGGCTGTGTCATCTCCCGGCCTGAGGGCACGTTGAGTCACTGCCTGGGAAACCCGGCCTCCAGCCTCTCCCCCACCTGCTGTTCCTTCTCCTGGAGTGCGGCTTGCTCTGGGCTCTGGGCTCTTTGTGCCAGGCCTGCTTCCCTCGGGCCATTCTCAGCCAGGCTCCTGGCCCAGGGCAGCCAGGGCCAGGCCGTGGAGGAATTGAATGGGGTGGAGTCTGAGAAGGTGGCCGGCTGGCAGGCTGGCGGCAGCCCCCCTAGGCTGGACACTGCGTGGCAAAGGCAGGGGATTTGAAGGGCTGTCAGCATTACCGGCCTGATCTGAGGAAATGGAGGTGTGCCGCCTTGAATTGGCAGATGTCTAAGCAAGGTATTGAAGCTAAGATAAAGCTTGAAACATCTGGGGGAAGCTTGTGGCGTTTTTCTAATCCTTAGTCACCCCCTAAGGCTTTGGTAATGACAAAGTGGAGCATAATTCAGGCTGTGGTGGAGTTTTATGACCTCGATGTGAGCGTCCACATGTCTGCACATGCAGGAGGGTGGGGGCCCTGCCCTGCTGCCCCGTGGAGGGGTCCCTGGGGGAGGGAGGCTGCGGGAAGCAGAACGTGGGCTTTGGACTGCCTTTGCCCTCCCGGGTCACAGCCCTCGCTTCCTAGGGCAGCCCCGGCGCAGGCCACACCCCTGCCGAGGTGTCCAGGAAGCCTGTGACGCCCGCCCCTTCTGCGCACAGGTTCACGCCTACATCATCAGCTCCCTCAAGAAGGAGATGCCCAATGTCTTCGGTAAAGAGAGCAAGAAGAAAGAGCTGGTGAACAACCTGGGAGAGATCTACGCCAAGATCGAGCGGGAGCATCAGATCTCCCCTGGCGACTTCCCAAGCCTCCGCAAGATGCAGGTCCGGTGGCCCGCACCCTGAGCAGGCTCGGGGCATGAGGAAGGCCGGGGGCACTGGGTCTCCGTGGGGTGGGGCTCCCAAAATGGAAGCAGCTGGGAAAGTCACCAGCCCCCCACCCGAGTCGGAGGAGTTGACCCAGGTCCTCAGGGGGTGGGGGACAGGGCCAGGCACTCTGGCCTCACCCCAGTTCATTCTCCCCATAGCCCTGCCGGGAAGGGACTCTTTACCTTCCAGTTTACGAATTGGAGAGCCAGGGCCCGGTGGGGTTAACCGAGTTGCCTGAGCTGTGAAGTGGTTTGGGCTGTGATGAGGAACCCGCTTTCTCTTGGGAACCCTTGCTTTGCCCACTCCACCTGGAGCCTGGGAGGGCCCAACCCCCCCTTGTCCTCCCTCCCCGCCCCCACAGGAACTGCTGCAGAGCCAAGACTTCACCAAGTTCCAGGCCTTGAAGCCCAAGCTGCTGGACACAGTGGACGACATGCTGGCCAACGACATCGCCCGGCTGATGGTGATGGTGCGCCAGGAGGAGTCCCAGATGCCCTCGCAGGTCGTCAAGGGCGGTGCCTTCGACGGCACCATGAATGGGCCCTTCGGGCACGGCTACGGCGAGGGGGCCGGGGAAGGCATAGATGACATCGAGTGGGTAGTAGGCAAGGACAAGCCCACCTATGACGAGATCTTCTACACACTGTCGCCCGTCAATGGCAAGATCACGGGCGCCAACGCCAAGAAGGAGATGGTGAAGTCCAAGCTGCCCAATACGGTGCTGGGGAAGATCTGGAAGCTGGCCGATGTGGACAAGGACGGGCTGCTGGACGACGAGGAGTTTGCCCTGGCCAACCACCTCATCAAAGTCAAGCTGGAGGGCCATGAGCTGCCCGCCGACCTCCCCCCACACCTGATCCCACCCTCCAAGCGGAGGCTCGAGTGACCAGCCGGCCCCGTGCGTCCAGCCAGCAGAGACGGGGGGCGGGGAGGGTCGCCGGTTCTCGAGGTCCATAAAGACTGAGTGGCTGTCTCCTCGGCTCTTGAAAAGGAAAAGGCCCAGCAGGGAGGCAGGGTGATGCTCGTATGTGAATGATGGAACTTTATGCACAAGAACTATGGATATTTTTAATATATAACGTTAGAGGCGGCCTTCTTTCTTGCCTCCTCCGTCTGACAGCCCCATGCCTTCACGCACACAGCTGGCCTCCCCCCTTGCCTCCGCTCTGGCTGTGCAGCACTCAGCGTACCCCTCCTGGCAGCTGCCGGGCTGGGGCCTGTGTAGACAGGAATGGCTGGATCTGGGTTATTCCTAAACTGAGTGAAGCAGCTTCGGGCCAGTGGCCTCCTCCCCATGTCCCGGACTCGGTTCTTGTGCCTTTTGCCACCTCTCAGCCCCCTGCGCACGCCCTCTGCTCTTTGCTCTCCTGGCCTCCCGCCCCTTGCGTGGCTGTCACCGAAGCAAGGCCCAGCCCAGCTGCCTTTGGGGGATCAGAGGGGTGGGTGGGTGTGAAAGAAAACATCTTCCAGAAGATATATAAGCTAGTGTTGGTCCCGTAAAAGTAACACCTCTTATACTTGACCGGGGTTTCCAGTAACTTCCCAACCACTCGTTCAGAAGCTGTGATTCTTGTCTCCTTTCCCGCTCTAACCAGGGGCAGCTCTACCCAGGAGCCATGGGGCACGGTGTGTGCAGAGCTCCCTCGCCGGGGACCCCAGCGGTGTTCTCTGCGGCACCCTTCCACTCCCTGGACATTCCGGTGCACCTCCCTGCCCCACCCTTGGGTGGGTGCTAGGTCCTCATGAACTTGGCATGGTTTGGTGCTCTAGCCCCGGCCTAGTGGCCAGAGACCAGGGATAACCCAGCCCCTTGAGCAAAGGAAGGTGGGATGCCCTTTGAGCAGCCCCTTCCCCAGGCTGAGAATAAACAGGCAGCGAGTGGCCAGCTCAGGCCGCCTCACGGCTTTGCCTCGGCCAGGCTGTCTAAGCAGCAGTATGTCCGGGCCTGGACATACTGCTGCTTCCACAGCCTGCAGCCGCCATCACTTCCACGGGGGCCTCAGGGACTCTGACCTCTCCAGCCCCGCCCACCCTCCCAGTGCTGCTCTCCAGGCGTCCGTCCGCTGGGTCCCAGTGGCCAGGAACTGGCCTGGTTACGTCCAGCCGGCCTCGGCCCACCATTCCGTGCGGTATTAGATGAGGGTGAAGGTGCATTGTTGAGAATTCACTGTTTCCGATGCAGTGGCTTTTCCACGCTCACCTGTGGGAAGAAAAGCAACTAAGACAAGACTTTGTTGAATTAAAGAAGTTTGTGCTGAAGCTGGCTTCTGGTGCTGCGTTCTCTCCCAGGGCTGCTCCCCACGGTGCCTGCTGGGGCACTGGCAGGGCAGGGACAGATTGGCAAGCCTGCCAGGGTGGGGCCCAGGCGCAGTCACGCTCAGCTCTGGCAGCTACTGCCTCTTAATAGTCGCCCGCAGACAGGACTGATGACCCCTTTCCTTGTGCTCGGTGGGGGCTGAGCAGGGTTTATTTTAGGAGAGGACGGGGTGAGCTGGGAGAATCTCTGATGACAGAACTAGGCTGCCTGCCCTGGGGCTGGGGAGAGGTACCTGCCTCGTATGATCTCCACAGCATCTCCTCCAACCTGGGCCCGCCCTGGACATGGGCAGACAGGTGGGCGCCCGTGGGGCTCTGGGCACTGGGAGGGATCAAGTAGACAATGGTTGACTGGACTTCTTGCTAGGCCTGGGGTTGGGGGTGGGGTGGGGTTGAGATACAGTGAAGCTGGTACTCAGACCAGCAACAAAAATACAATTACTAAGGGTGGGGCCGGCCGTGCCTCAGATGGGGGGGGGCGGGAACTGCGTGTACCAGCCCAGGGAAGGAGACAAAATTGGGAGCTGATGCACCATGCAGGCCTCAGACGTGTAATCAGGGTGGAGCGCGCCAGGCTCACTTATGGCAAAAGACAGTATGCGAACAGGTGCCCATGGTCCTGCCAGCAGGTTGTGCGTGCCAGCCGGCTTGGGTGTCTGGTCTGACCACCAGTATCTGATCGCCAGCCCGGCACCACTCGGGCAGTTTGCCTTGTCCCGGGGTTACCTTGGCCGTCATGTGGGAGGTCGATGCTTTCCCCCATTGCACAGCCAGACTCCGGCGGGCAGCTGTGTAGGATGATTCAGACCCGGTGTGCCCAACTCCAGGTGTGAGCCCACCAGCCTGTAATCCAAAGTACCCTTTTCACCCCCCCCCCCCCAATTCTGTAGCTGCGGACTCAGATTTGAGAAACCCACATGGAAGATTTGAAAGGTTAAATGCTACCACTGCAGCTGGGTCCGGGAGGCTTGGCACGGCCTCTCGGTGTACAGGGGCACCCCTGAGGCGCAGCGGGCTCGCTCAAGCTGGAGACGAAAAGATCCTGGAGTGTGAGAAGCGCTGCCTGGCCGCTCTGCCCCTCCACTGAGCCCGCCACCTCGGCTCTCCCGCGCACCCCACACTCAGCACCCTCCCCAGCACACGGAGGCAGGGCGAGCCCCTAAGGCTGCTCCAGGAAGTGGCAGTTGATCTGAGACTTAAAGGGCCAAGGGCAGGTGGCTGCACCCCTGCTGGCCTGGAGCTCAGGCCCCTGGTTTGAGTTTTACAGATTGGGGGTCTTCTCAGGCTGTGATGGGAGTTCAGGGGGGGCCAGTGTGTGGACAAAGGAGTGGCCACCCCTCGGAGGGCAGCATCTGCCCCTCACCTCGTCCCCAGCTCCCTAGCCGGCCAGGACCCTGGGTGAAAGGCCCCCTTCAGAGCTGCTGGGGTACAGGAGAGCTGATTCTACCCGCACCCAGAGCTCCTGCAGTAAGAGGCCTTTGGGGCCATCTGCCCACGTGGCACCTCAGAACCCACGATGCAGGAAGCAAGGGGGCGCACCCACTGCTCTGGGCCCCACATGGGAGCCCTTCATGTGAGATCTCGTTAAAACAGTCACTTCTGCCGTCAAAAATGTTACCATGAAGCTGACCCCTTGCCTGTTCTCATCTCAAAGAGGCGGTCATAGAACTTGCCCACGGCCACCAGGTTTGACAGGGTCAGGACACCCAGCCACCAGTTCTGCCCCCTCCATCCAAAGCACACAGAGGGCGGGTCTCAGGCAGACAGGCCGGGGTCGGATCCCAGCTCCGCCACTCACTCCCTGAGACCTGTCCTCCCTCCTGAGCCTTTTTCCTCGCTTGCAAAATACAAACAGGATCTCCTGCTTCAGAGGCAGGGCCCCTAGGGTGGCCACCTTTGCTCAGCACCCCGTG